CTCATTTAGTGGTGTTTTGGTTCAAGATGGAGAGGTTTCTTTCTCTCTGTTAGTCCTTTTCCCTGGACTATGGATGACTGAGGCTGACATCTCATACACCTTTCTCCATAATCGGATAACCGAAACTCATGTTGTTTCATTCACTGGGATTCAGTGTACCAGTTTTGAGCTCTTATTTTCAGGTTCATTGTGACTCTATGTTTTCAACTGAGTTGTGGGAGCATTTGAAGTCCAAGTTCACAGTCTTGGACTTGATTTCTATTATTTCTTGAACAACTGGCACCTCCTTTCCTCTTCTCAGGAAGCTTCTTTCTTGGTCACATCATTTCTCCTCCAAAAGGCAGCTTGTCTGGGTTGACTGCCCAAGTTTCATTTGTGACTCTGATTCAGTATTTGGTCCACCATGGAGTCTTTCAGTTCTTGACTCAGTTGAGCTCAGCCATTCATCTGTGGAGCATGGAGTTTCTAGTCACCTCCACTCTTGCCTCTCATATACTTCCTGCCAAAGGTTCTATCTCACTTGGTGATTCTTGCATGTCTAGAAGAGCTTGTCACTCTAGGCCTGGTTCACATAAGGCTTCTACAATGGACTTTAAGTTACCAATGGAAAATCTCTATGACCCTCTGTCCCCTTTTGTTTTGCTGCCACTTTCTCGTCTCAAAGATCTGTCTTGGGGGGATGGATCATGCCAAAACTATGGTTGACATCCCACTGCTGCCTCCTATATGGATTTTTTCACTGATGTATCTCTTGCATGTTGGGACATCTCTGAATGACTCCATGGCCATGGTTTGGTCTTCTGTGTAGCGTATTTTCCACATGAATGTTCTGGGAACTTCTGGCTATGCATTAGGCTTTTTTGTGTTTCCTACATTGTCTTGTGGATCACTTGGTTATGATCTACTCTGACAACTCTGTCACCATTTCCCATATCATTCTTCATGGTGGGATATGCTCCAGAGATATTTGCTCTACATGTTGGGACTTTTTGTTTTGGGCCCACTCACATCGAGTTCTTCTGACAGCCCTTCATGTCTCAGGGGCTTTGAACTTGATGGTGAATTGACTCTCTTGATCAGTAAAGCTTCTTCTTACAGAGTAGTCATTCCATCCTCTGATATTTCGTTAGATGTTTTCCCAGATGGGCATGCCAATGATTGGTGCTTTTGCCATTCCTCTTAATACCAAACTTCTTCTCTTCTGGTCACCAGTTCTTCACCCAGCATTTCTAGCTGTAGATGCCTTCAGCTAAGACTGGTCTCATCTTTCTCTGTGTGTATCCTCATCTTCACATTCTCCCACATATCCTGGTGTTGATTCAGGACACTCCTTGTTGAGTTCTGTTGGTAGCACCATTTTGGCCAGATCAGTGTTTGTTTCTTGTTCTTCACTGACTGGCTTCCAGGATATCTTTTCCTTTGCCTCAATTTAGATCACTCCTGCTCTAACCTCATATGTCTCTTTCACATGGGAGTGTCATCCCTTCATCTTCAAATGTGGGATTTGTTTGGTTCCTTGTTTGGCAGTCAAGTTTCTCTGACCATGTAGTTCTTTTTTTATCCCATTTGTGTCACCCTTCTATTCTGTCTATCAATGAAAGTGACCCTTTTTTCATCACTGGTCCATCTATCACTCTTTACCACTGGACCATCATACTATCTCTTAAAACCTGTTTCATTCTTGTTCTTGCTTGTGGTCATTGCAGACCTAATCTTTAAGCATTAGATGCCTCCCATAATTTGTTTCACAGATCTTCCTCAATATTATTTCCTAACTGCTTGTTTCTTCCTAAGGCTTGAGTGGCTCGGGAAAGAGATCATACCTTTCCTCCCATATCTCTTCTGTTGATCTTGGCCCTCTATAATCATACTGACACTGAATGTCTTTTGTGTCCAGTCAAGCAATCAGGTGTTACTTGGCACGCACATCTCCATTTTGGGGTTTCTCCAATAATTTATTCTTACCATTGGACCCCTCTCCTTCCAAGTATCCTTTCTCCTTTATACTTACTGGATGGATTTATCAGCTCATCTGGATCGTCTGTTCTCCCTAGATAGAGATGCTCATAGGCTGTATCATGTCTCATCCCATCAAATCTGCCACTTGACTCTTTCTCTGTCTTTGGACTTTCAACAACCCTTGGACAAGATCCTCCAGGCTGGAATGTGGACAACACTCAACACCTTTGTCTTCAGTTACCTCCACCATCTGGAAGTTTCATCTTCCTCAGGATATTGCCTCCCTTTAATTACCCTATCTAACAAGTAAGTGCTTCTTTTATTTCTTTGCCTGTACCTGTTTATACTGTTCTCTCATTGACTTTTGGAACCCATCTGGTGGCTGGAGTTGTCTCACAGGGTTCACTTACTTCTCCTAAACCTACATAGAGCCAAAGGAATGAAAAGTGTTAAACCCATCTGCCTTGGCTCCTAAAGTGCCCACTGTTGAGGGTATATATACATATTTAATCATCCTTTCCAGAACATACCTTCCATGGACTATTACGGAGAAAGCCAGCACCAGTGGGGTGTCTGTCCACTTCCCTAACTTAAGCATGCCACCTTTTCAAATTAGGTTTCACATTAACCCATTGCAATTTCTCCAGTAATAGATCTTTGTCGTGGTCAGGTCTGATCAGGTTTGGGCATCTCTCCTGTATCTTACTAATGGAGCATGGGAGACCCTTGCCACTCTCATTTCCCAGATGCTGGGGTGGTTGACTTTGAGAGATCCTCACCAGTTTTGCAATCCCTTTGGAGAGTGTACGAAAGAGCAGCACAATGCAGTGGGAAGTAGGGCAGGGGTATCCATGTCAGTGTAGTGCAGGTCATCCTTTATCATACAATATGACAGTGTTTTGACCAGTCAAATGGGGCAGAGTGTTAAATTCACATGAAAGGAAGGAACTTTGTCCATTCCTTTTTATGTAAGGTATATTGTAAAACAGAATGCATACCAAATTGTACAATCTGACCATTGCCCTAGCCACACTAAACCTTATGTCTAGTGTATCTGTGGTGTACAAATGCTTGGCTGGTCATGTCTATTTCTGCTCATTCCTGTGGTGCATGAGCTTAAATTGCCTTTCTTCTTTCATATTTCCATCTGGGTGAAAAGTATAACCCAACTAAGAGCAGATGCAGTCTCCCATGAGTATTAAGCCCCCACTATAGGGTGTCACACTTCATAGGCTTTCCCCCTCAGTTGCCTTCTCCAAAGGTAGCTCATCTCGGGTTTTGCAACTGCCCCAGTTCCTCCACCAAATCATTGTGAGATTTTAGCTACTGTTTGCAGAGAGGTAGGTATATCTTTTCGGAAGTTAACATTTTCCTTACGTGAGAATGTATTTCTGATTAATATTTACCTTTTTGCACCTTTCCTCCCTTCCACCCCAATATCAGTGCATGCTATTCTTGCCTCATGTGAGAATAATGTGAATTTCAAGTGAAAGTGTTTATGGGGCTCAACTGCATATGGAGATTTGTTCCCTACTGTCACATGATGATTACATCATGCTCTAGTAAAGTTCACCTTATAACGTGTTACATGGGAGATAGCTCAAGGCTAATGACTTGCAACATCACAAAGGCAGACATCCAAGGAATAGCTATTGTGTGAAAAGGGGTAAGTATCTATTGGAAATACATTTTCAGGTAAGGAAAATGTTAACTTCAGTGACACATATACAAGAATAGTCAATCATCCTCAGTAGTAGTTTTTTAAAGGAATTTAAGGAACACAAATGGAAACTATTTTATGGAAACACACAAAAAAAAAGGCTAGCAAGGATAGGGCCCATAGCCACGCCTTCAATTTCTAGCAATCACAAAAAAACACAGATGTGTCTGACTCCATCAGACTACTTATAGATCTTACTGTTTCAGATTATAAGTAATTATCAGTGGATCTAAAATTAAGCTTAAATTTATAATGATAAGAGAAAAGCTAATTTTGACCAGCAATTGTAGTCCTTCATATTAATTCTACAGGACTATTTTAAATAACTAATGGTAATCAGTGAACACAGAAGTTATCACTGAATCACTATTCATACCATTGATAGCAGTTGTCAACTAAGTCTTAGAGATTGGTATGTGCACTGCAATTGACAGATCTGTATGTATTTCTTTGTTTACTGGCCATTTCTAAAATCTACAGGATAAGAATTAAAGAACCAATGAGCATATCTAGAAAATTCAAGACTGTTTTGGATCTAGAAAAAAAAAATAGCAGTTGTAGACACTAGATAGAGATAATTACAATATGAATATTCATATGTACTTATTACATGAACCATTCTTGTATCCTGCTCATTCTTTATTTTGTTTACTTTTTCATAATTTAATATTTATTTTACATTTGCTTTTATTTTCCAACATCATGTGAAACTAATGAGACTGTTTAAATATATAATACACTGTTCAACCAAAGGACTTTGTTGACTATTTAGTATCTGGTGAAAACACTATACCAACATTTTGGGAAGTGTAGTGATAAAGTGGGTTGTTAGGGATATTATGTATATATGACTTAAAAAATACTAATTATTATTTATTTATTCATGATCAGACAGCAAAATATAATAACTGTGTGACAAACGTTGATTTAAGAATATTTTTATTCTTCACATGGGCTTGTGATTACTTGCTTATGAAATCCAAAATAATGTTTCTATAAAAAAATATGACACTAAAAATGAGAAAGGTTTGAACTCATGACATGGGTTGATGCTCTAACTAACTAAGCTATAATTATGACTTGAATGCCAAACTTCTTGAGTTTTTATGATTACTTTCATTAATATTAAGTGTAATAAGACTAACATAAAATGACTTTTAAGTCTTACTTAAATCATTAGCTTATGTTTACTATGTGGTTGTTAATGTTTGAAATATGTCATTATAAAATATACTTATTTTGTTTTCAACAGTGCATACTTCTTCTGTTATTTTCATTAACTTCATTTAATTTTAAATTCAGTTTAATTCACAATTTTCAGAAAATCCAGATTTTGCAGCCAAGACAAAAGCTTTTTTAACCATGGCTTCAGCAGGAAATGTTCAGCTTCCAAGACATGAATCAACAAGTAAGTTCTTGTTCCTTTGAACTATCTGATAATTTGCAGAAGCTGACTCCTACAACATATATAACAACCTGAATGAATAAGTTTTTCATTATTTTATGTTTGAAACATCATATCAGAGCTTGACATTAATGGTTTCCAGATTGCCTGGGACAAGTATAACCATCATTCAGATAACTCAGTTTCTCTATATTCTTGCTCAATCACTCAAATGAAATTTATTTGGGTTAACTCCTGTTCTTGTACATTTTTCTTTGAACATTTTATTCTCTCTGCTTTGTCTCCATGATGTTGTGTAACTCTGGCAATTTCAAGCAGCTTTATTGGTGTTTTATTGCCAGTATTAGTTGGTGCATGCTCACTCTTGTTAGATGTGGCTTGATTGCTTTCACAAATTTCGTATCTTGTTTTAGTTTTTAAAAATAAAATCACAATTAGCAAATTTTCATAAGAAATTCAAATTGAAATGTGATTAGATATAATATAAAGAAGGAATATGGGAAGAAATGGAGAAGAGACATCATAGTCATGGAAGAAGAGAGTTTGTTGGACTGATAGGCACCAAGAATGGATTGGTATGCATGACTTGTCAAAAATGTAAAAGCATTTCAGAGATCTTCACAATTTTTAACAAGCAATATGTCCTAGAGATTGGATAGTTTGAAAGCTCATTTTCCTTTGTAATAAATCAATATAATAATGTTTTGAGTAATTATTCACTAATTTAGTAAAGGCTTAAATTTTCATTAAAATCTTTGGGTAACTAAGTATCAGTCTTGGGCAAGTGTAATTTAAATTGCCTGAATGGAAAAGTGGATTCAACAGTTAATATCAAGCTATGCATATTCTTTATTTTGTAATCCCAGCATTATTTTCACCTATTTGTAATGCAGAGCTATAATGCAGATTTGTTAAGAATTCTGCTTATAAGAATAAACCCATGAAAACTTAGTTAGGTAAAAAAACAATAATTATAATTTTTGATATTCTTAAAATTTTCAAATGTACTGTAGAATACATGTCAACTTAGTTTTGAGGACTGTTCTTTTTTTCTTTGCATTTGGTTATGAAAGGTTTATGTAAGAAAATATATGTATACATATTTTTGTACTTAGGTCCAAATTTACAGTCACTGAAAGAAGAAGCTGAAATTGAAGAAGTGACTGGAACTTCTCAGAAGCAGACAGTAAAAAAGACAAATACACCAGTAAAGATGACAAAAAGTGTAAGCTCTCATGCTTCTTGTTTTTAATATAATAGTTTGCCTAGTGCTTTCTTGATAGACTATGATCACAATGGCCTCTGTTTGTCCTAAAAATAAATGAATTAATATGATCAATTTTCTTTTGAAGACAAAGCTACTTATGTTATGAAAAATTTGTCAGTTCTTTATATGAGCTATGACTTTTTACATTGTTGTGGCAGTTTTATAGTGTTTTTAACTCTATATTGTAATAATCATTTGTTAAATGCATATATTTTTTTTAGTTCTTTCATTGCTAGCTTTAGTTTCAAACTTAAAATTAGCTGTTACTAAGCAAGTATACTTATTTCAATCCTTTTCCACTCAACTTTTTTTTTGATACAACTAGTTTAGTGTAAAATATTTTATATTATTAAATGCTTTTCAAATGATGTAAATATTTTTAATAAAATAAGAGTTTCAAAAAATGAATAAATGATTTATTTCATTTTTCAGTGGTTGCTAACATAATTTTGCTACATTTAGTGATATTTTATACAAAAGTTGTCAACACTATATTTAAACTTTTCAAGTAAACATGTAAAGGTCAGCTAATAAAAATTTTGTATGTTTTTATATTGTAAAAGCTAAATTTAATTGGAAAACATTAGAGTTCTATTTTTTCATCCAAACAAGTTGTCAGTTTTGATTTCATCAATTTTAATATTGTGTTGCTTGTGCAGTAGTGTTAAGAGAAAAATGTAAACAAAATACTTGTTGACCATATTTTACCAATTCATTGAATCTTGCTACACCCTTTTTTTTTCTGTTAAAGTAATTTTATTTTTGATATGTAGTTGAGTAAATTTTATTTCAATGAATGTTTTTTTTACTCTCTTATAAATTTTTATGTAATAGCTGTTCTGTTTCTTATTGTTACAAAATGACTAGTGTTTTGTAATAGCAGTCATTTTTTTCTTTCAGTGAAAATTTTTCGATTAAACTTATGGTTCTGTTACATAGAGTAATTGCATTTTCATAGACTTTTTTTTTTTGTTATTGAAATCATAATATTTCATCTTAGAGCTGGGTTATTAGTGGTATTTGCTAATTGATTATGGTCCCATTGATCGATGAGTAATTGATTAGTCCAGTGTTCCTCAAACCATGGTATGTACAAGAAAAAACAACAACACAAAAGTTGGCAGCATGTGCTGCCAGCCAGTTGTCTTCCTTCTAGTCAGCAGTTAAATATTAGAGAGATTGGCAGATAGCCTTAGAAGCCTTTGCTTTAAAAGACATGGCAGGCAAGTTTGGTGTCAATCCCTAATTCTGATTAGTTGATTATTCTTTTATAGTCGATGTTATTCAAATTAATTGATTGCTGAAATAATTGAAAAAATTAATAATAATGAGTAAATTATTGTTTTTGTGACATTCAGTATCATTGGAATTTTGGTTAATCAATTGTTGGAGTAATCAAAAAGAATAATAATTAGAAACGCTAATTCTTGTTAATCAGTTTGTTAATAATTTTGATTAATTGGTAAGATTACATGACAACAATTACATAATAGTTGTTCATAGTTAATAAAGTAAATTGCTCTGCTCTATTTCATATAAGAAAATATTTTATTGTAGTTTTGAATCATAGGTTAAATTTATGTGTTAAACATGCAAGTGGGTAAAACCAAATATGTAAAGTAAAACTAGTCCTTAAATTTGGGAAAAATTGTAAACTGAAAAGAAACATGATTAATAAGTGATTGTTTTCAAGAAAATTCAAAAGATAGATTTTTGTGACGGAAGATAG